TTCAGTCAGAAAAAAACTTATGTTACTGACTGCTCTGGAATTCAATGCATTGCATTTAAACTTCACGGCCTGCTCAATGTCGACCAACCGCGGCTAATCCCTTGTATTTATCCCTGCAATCAAAGTTTGATAGATAGCAGGCAGAATTTTATTGAAAAGTACATGATTCGTTTTTTGTACAGAAGCAGAACCACCATGACAGAAAGAAGATACAGTTTCCGAAAATGGAGCGATAGAACTTTAAGTTCAGCTGAAATATGACTTCTTGCAGAGCAAGTTAGTGGAGTTTCTCACCTCAATTAGAATTATGAATAATTTGACAGTTACATGCAAAAATTGATGCCATGAAATGTTATTCTAGCCCATAGGTCACAAGTATATGTTGCCATTTATAGCTTTGATGCTGTCCTCAGCCACCCTAGCCAAGACCTTTCCTTTTTGCCTTTGACATACTCAGATATCGAATCCAGCTATAAACAACAAAAAATGAGTGCCTGTCCATTACCTCCGACTTCCTTCCCTTCATATGTTATGCGATCTGTAGATGACAACTGATGCTCATCTATGGTATACATCATTCTTCCGCCGTGATCTTCATATCCGGTGCGGAAATTCGCATAGTGGTGATCTGTCGGTATGTTCATCTTCCGCCCTAACATTTTACAATAAAATCAAGCAAAGGTCGAGAACTAGCAGAATCAGGAAAGGTGCTTGACGGCGTGGAGCTACAGATGACATTTGAGCCATTTTCAGACTTCTGAGAAAGACGAAGGCGTTGAAACGTTAGACCTCGACTGAATAAATAAAAATCACCTAATAAACCTGTTTGGCACAGACTACTTTTCAATACGAACAATGCCCAGGTTTAAAAAAAGTGGAACTTGAAGCTTTTCTATCTCATTTCTGTAAACGGCTCGCCGGATTCCGAGCATGTTATTACCAGTACTCAAACTTTTGAAATCGAAATATGTACTATTTGATCCAACTGGCTTGGCATCGGCAAAGGCGGGGCTTCGTGACCTAATTAAGGTTAGGTAATGATCAGAGAGCCCTCTCGCGAGAGAGACGCAGGTGCGTCGCGGGCACGAGCGGCCTCAATTAGATCACAAAACCCCGCCCTAAGTGCCAAGCCAGTTGAATCAAAGGTTACCAATCATGATTTTTGCGAAAGAGAAGAGTAACTGAAATCTGTTAGAGCGAGATTTGGAGAGTACGCTAGGGCACTCAAGTCTCAATTCCAGTCTCTTGTGGACAATCTTGATGACGTTTGCCGTATGGGGCTATGTTTTGTCGTGCAGGAGTTACTGGATCTGTCTACTGAACTTTTTCTGCAGTGTACCTCGCTTAAACGGTGTAATTGGGTTGCCTACGATTCAGTGACATCCTAAAATCCCTTGGTCTCTTAAAACAAGCCAGGTTTTTGTCTCGAATGACGACAAATACCACTTTTCTTAATCGCTAACGAAGCCTGTAAAAACGCTTACTTTAATCCGAGAAAATCATTATGTGTCGAAAATGCATCGGAGGCTAAAAAATCGGAGTGGATAGCTTTCCCAGCGATATCAGTTAGTCTGATTTAAAGAGCGTGACTAGCCCTTTCCAAAGATATACGCATCTTGCCGCTTATTACCCGCTTTCTAAGGAACTGAGGACGAAAATGAAAACGCTACGTAAGAGTGGCGGTCCCAGATTTCCGTTGGGGGGGGGGAGGGGAAGGGAGGGGATTTTTCGATGGTTTGGTGGTTGTTTTTTTCTAGAGGTACGTTAGTCACGCACTTCGAAAATTTTTTTGGGTGTTTCTTAGATTTTTTGGACCATGATTTCGAAAAAAAATTTTCACATAGTTAATTTAACTTTTGAAAATTTCCAAAAATTGCTTTGATTATTGATTGTTCGGAAGTAGTTGTTTGCACATTTTTACAGTTCATATAAGTGACTTTCAAAATTTCGCGCCCCTTTCTCAAGGGGACGGCCTCGCTTGGTCCGCCACTGCTACGAAGTTAGGGAACGACCTAATATCTTGGAAAAGTACGGTCGAGCTATTTGTAGCTCAGTGTGTACTAAACACTATGCGCTATATCTCATTACCAGTCCAAAGCGCCGCTTCGCGTGTTTGCATGGGGGTTTCTAGAAATTTCCTTAACAGAAAGCAGCAGATTTTTCAACTTCTCACAGCCTCATCTATCCGCACCGTTGTCCGGTCGTATGTCTAAAATTTACTCAACTTGCGTTCTGCAAATTTGAGTATTGCTGTCTTTGGACTGGCTGTGTGTGTGAAGTGCGACGTGACTAAAAGTTAAAATCTTTGAAGTTTTAGCGAAGTAAAGAGTGAAATTTTTGGCCACGTAACGACCCAGAGGTTACAAAAGTCAATTTGTCAGAAATCCTTGTTTGCATGGGGGTTTCTAGAAATTTCCTTAACAGAAAGCAGCAGATTTTTCAACTTCTCACAGCCTCATCTATCCGCACCGTTGTCCGGTCGTATGTCTAAAATTTACTCAACTTGCTTTCTGCAAATTTGAGTATTGCTGTCTTTCCCAGGTTTTTTGAGCCAAATTCCCTTCCTCCTCCTTCCCCCTCCTCTACCCTCCAATCCCTTAGGCTTTGATATAAACTACCTGAACTGCTCATCTTTTCTTGTATCCACGCTTTTCGAATCTAATTCACTGTGATCAAAATGCAACTTACGTTTTACAGTCTCTCCTCATCCCAATCTGGCCAAAACTAATATGACGCGCTTTGCAACGTCATAGTTTTGACTCAGTAGGCGATTTGCTAGAGGTGGTCTCTTTGGGCCCTGTTTGTTCCCCCATTTTCAATCTCTCGGGATTACTACAAACGGAGGGAAGTCAGGAGGTACGATCTGCGCGAATTTTTCGTGAAACGATGCCGCAACGTACTTCAGCCCTTACAACAGCAGCACTTCTGGCGCAGTCTTACTTATAACATCAAGTCATGTATCTGCCCCCACCCTCACGTTTTTGCCGCCGGAATCCCTATTGGCAGGGAGTCTTGAAGGCCCTAAAATTTGTGCGGCGTCTGCGGAAGAGCGGCCGCCGCGCCCGGCGTACCTCCTGACGTGCAGCCCTACAAACGCGCAAATGCAGCGCGAACTCTTTGCGCTGGTGCGCAGTTTCGGCCAACGTTACGCCTGATAACGATTGACACATACTGTACTTTCCAAAATTTCGTTTTCTTCCCACATCTTGCTAGGATCCTCGGATGCCGTCAAACTTTATGCCGGAGTGTCCTTCTCACATTCGACAGAAAACTCCCAGCCTCCAAATCCCGAATTTCAGAAATCCAAACACTTCCTTTTTCTCTCCACAAAATTCTTAGAAGCGCTTCAGCTCCAAAACATTTGACTGTCAAAATTCTCCTTTGGTTCCACAAACTGACCAACACTCTTGCAGTTTTTTCCAAAGCGCTCCAAAATCACCTAATTTTTGGCTTAGCTTAGGCTTTTCCGAGAAACTTTGGTCACGATCGCGGTGATATGCTTTTGAATACTCTTGAACTTTTCGGATTTGTAGGAAAATCCGAAAATTTAGAGGTAAAGTTTTTTTGTTAGTATGTACGCTTTCCTAGCTAGGAGAAGTCTTTGCATCCAAGTCTAATGAAGTTTCAGAGCTATTTGCGTCACCACGCTGTTAATCTTTTGGAGGTATTGTTTCTTATATTCCAGTTTAGCTATTTGAAAAGTTTGAACACTGCTGAATTCGATCGCAAAAGAAGCGTGCTCGCTCTTTAGTATAGAGTATGATGGTGAATTTTTCAAGACAGAACAGATTTGCTGTGGTTTTTTTAGATACACTTGCTTTTTCACAAACAAAGTTTGAAAAACTGCAACTTTCTTGCTGAAACTCTCAAGGAATCGTGCTCAGAAATTGGAAAAAAATCAGCGGGAATTTGGAGCAGTTTGTTCAAGATGGAAAAGCTTTGTCTTGAAATTTGACGACCTTTCCTAATGATGGTTTTGGCGCAGCTTTCGTAGGATGGAAAACTCCTAAGCACTTGATGAAGAATTGGGAAGACAGCAACTTTTTATAATATAGGCTAACAAATCTTTTTGAACTGGAAATTTCAAACAAAGTGCGCTTACAATAAAATCATGGAAGCCCATGCTCAAGAAGTCAAAAATTTGTGAAAAACTTTCAAAAGAAGGTCCCCAAGAATTTAGATGAGATCACACTCAAAAAATTAATGGGACAGACTACGTTCACCAAATACGGATTTGGCGCAACTTCTTCACGATAGGAAACACAAAAACACTGTGGAATCAAACAATATGGTGCTTTTTTCTTTCAACTAAAAAAGTACTAATTATCTGATAGAAGAAGCCTAAAAGTTGCAGCTTTTTTGCTCAAAAAATATTATGCATTTTGTGAACATATATGGTACGAAAAATATCGTAAACAGAGCTCTGAATTTAAGAGAAAGACAAAACAGATTCTTCAAGATTTATTTTGATGCAATTTTCTGAACAAACGCATCAGTGGTATTGAAACAAATTGTACATTTGGAGCTTAGATGCAATTCAGGTGCCTTCTGCGAACTTGTTGTTACACCAGTGAAAATAGTGTTGGGGAGTCACAAATTCTTACTTAGATAACAATGTTTGAGGAAACACACACGCATGTGTGCCTCCTATAAATCTCAATATTTACACGATTACATCAACTCATCAATTCATTCGCCGACGTGTTGGCATTCGCCGACGTGTTGGCCATTCGCCGACGTGTTGGCATTCGCCGACGTGTTGGCTCATTCGCCGACGTGTTGGCATTCGCCGACGTGTTGGCATTCGCCGACGTGTTGGCATTCGCCGACGTGTTGGCATTCGCCGACGTGTTGGCATTCGCCGACGTGTTGGCATTCGCCGACGTGTTGGCATTCGCCGACGTGTTGGCATTCGCCGACGTGTTGGCATTCGCCGACGTGTTGGCATTCGCCGATGTGTTGGCTCTCTGCTTGGTCGCTTCTCCCAGTGCTCTGGTCAAATGGTTAGACAACGCAGGAACACAAGCGAGGACGAAAACAACATGCCGCAATGGGCGATCAGACTAATTGAGAGATTTGACAGGTATTCTTCTAGTATGGAAAAAGTGTTGAGTGAAACGCTTGAGCGTGTCTTCAGTGAGATCAAAGACATAAAAGCCTCACATAGCTCTATACTCAATCGTTTGGATAGCCTAGAAGAGAAATTTTGTGAACTGAATTTTGAAAGATCCAATCAGCAGAAAATGCTCTATTCTACATTTGTCAAAATCCGTTCTGATGAAAGTAAACTAGAGGAGAAATCTAAACGTATAGCGTTGGTTGGGATAGACGAACAAGGCGATGAGAACCTCACTCGTCGTTTTGATCGTGAGATCATAAAGGAGTTCATCTACACTTCTGGTGAACAGCAGTTAGTAGAGGAGTTTGAAAAGGGAAACGTAACAATACAACGTTATCCGCCTGGCCAGCCAAGGACCCCTCACGTGCGTGGACGTATCATAAAGATTGGTCTCCGCTCCAAGGAGTTGAGAGATCAACTTTTGCACCACATGAGGGCCGGGCGTCAGAGCCTAACGCAGAAATTCATTCATTCCTATGCAAGGCGCGATTATACATACGAAGAGCTTGAGTTAGATCGAGCGCTGCGGAAGCAAGCAGGAGACCTTAACGCCCGAGAAGGGAAGTTGGTCTTCGTGGTTCGTGACTTTGAAATAGTCAAACTAAAATCACCACGCGAACTCCCAAGGCGCTCTCTAATCTCCTCTGGTCGCCGTAGTAGTAATGGGAACAATGCTTTTGGCAACAAAAGCATCGTTGAGTTGGAAGAGGAACGTGATTCTCCTGCCACAAATTTGACTTTATCGCCTATTTCTTGTTCGCAGTATACCCCCAAAACTTCAAACACACGTTAGAAAAGAATTCTCCAATCTGATAACCTTCAACAACATGACAAAAATATTTCTGAGACATTTTTGACAAACGAAACTATCAGTGGACACATTATTCTATTCAATGCACGTTCCATTTGTAACAAACTACCAGAGCTACATAGACTTCTCTGTTTTGAACCGTCCATTGTTTTTATTACTGAATCGTGGTGTAAACCACAAACTATACATGATGCAAACATTTGCCAAAAATTCCATTATGAAATTTATAGATGTGATAGAGAAGGTGATATTCAGGGCGGAGGCGTTCTTGCTCTCGTACACAGAAACATTGAACACCATCTCGTGTTTAGTCGAAGCTCTTCTGTTTATTGTCAAAGTCTTTGTATCTGCTTGACGCATGACACAAAATGCATATATTTTATCTTGATATACAGAAGTCCTTCATGTGACAACATCTCGTTTGAAAAAGCTCTGTCTTCCATCACTGAAATACTCGACAGAAACCAAAATTGTATCATTTTAGGAGACTTCAATTCAAACTACAATGCTTGGTCCACTGAAAAAACAAAACGAAATCACTGTTTTTCTTCCACCAAACTGCGGCGACTAGCGGAAACTTATGATCTACATCAGCTCGTAAATGTTCCCACCCATGACATACATCTATTAGATCTGGTATTCACAAGCAACCGTAATCTGATAAAAAATCTCCGAGTTCGCTCCCCTTTTTCTACATCAGACCACTCCTCCGTCTCATTTCAGCTATGTAGACATCATGGCAGAAGCTCCTCTCAAAAATTCTTGCTCGATTTCCTTCATGCAGATTATGATGAGATAATTGCTGATCTGCTTAGAGTAGACTGGCGCAATATCATTCAAAGTACACTCTCAGCAGACCAGTGTTATCAGGTCTTTGTTGAATACTGTCATGAACTAATAAAAAAATTCGTACCCAAAATCAAAATTGATCGAGAACACACTTTTGCATATCCAAGGAAAATTCAAAAATTGGAAGCTAAAGTCTCTAGATTATACCAAGCTAGACATAAGATTGGTTTACAAAAATACCGCAGGTTTTCCGCAAAGCTGAAGCGTGAATTGGCCCTTTACAGGATTTCTGAAGAAGAAATCGTTGCATGTAGTCGTAACATCAAAACGTTTTACCGCTTCTGCAATCAAAATCTGAAAGTTACGAACAGTATCGGCACTATATATAATTCATTCGGTGACGTTTGTAAAACTGATAAAGACAAGGCTGAAGCATTTGCCGCCTTTTTCAAAACTGTTTACAAAAAACCTTCGAATTCTGCAGTTGAATGTCCACAATTCACAAACGCTAAAATCGACTTTTTAGACATTACTGGTGACACCGTATACCAAGCCTTGAAGAAATTACCTCTTAGAAAATCTACGTCTCCTGATGAACTTCCTTATGTTTTTCTGAGAAAAGCTTCTCTTGGAATTTCTCCTGCCCTTACTCTTTTGTTTCAAAGATTTCTGCTTCTCGGAGAAGTTCCAGAACTGTGGCGTACTGCAATCGTGAAACCAATCTTCAAAAAAGGCAACAAATCTCAACCAAAAAATTATAGACCAATCTGCTTGACATCCTCAGTGAGCAAGGTTTTTGAGAGGATAATTTGCAAAGAAATCTATAGGTACCTTGAGAGTAACCATTTGATACATACAGTTCAACATGGGTTTCTTCCCAAAAGATATTGACAGCTCTCATTTCGACAATTCCCATATGGCAGAAAATAATCAATGAGAAAGGATTTGTTACTGTCTGCTACATAGACTACACAAAAGCTTTTGACTCCGTCCCACTGAATTTACTTTTTACCAAACTTAAAGCATACGGAATAGAAGGTTGTCTCCTAAAATTTCTCAAAGCCTTTTTGCTTAACCGTACTCAGCAAGTTGTAGTCAATAAATCTTTCTCCTCTACCTACCAAACAAGCAGCGGTGTTCCTCAAGGAACCTGCTTGGGACCTCTCCTATTTCTACTTTATATAAATGATTTACCTCTATGTCTACCCAGTAACATCTTCTGCTCCATCTATGCCGATGATACGAAACTCTTCTGCTATAATGCACCTGAATTGATGCAAAAAGCTTTAGATGCGGTGGAGGATTGGTCAGTCAAATGGGAGCTTGATATTTCGGTTGAAAAGACGTGTATCATGTTTGTTGGAGCCAAACATCCCCGATTTCACAATTTTTACTTGAGAAATCAAAAAGTTCGGGTGACAAATCTCATCAAAGATCTTGGTGTCACCTATTCTGATAATCTCAACTTTGAGCACTACATAGAAGAGCTTGCTAGAATAGCTCATGCTAGGTGTAACTACATACTACACGCCTTTCGAACTACAAAAGTTGAAACTCTTTTCCGCCTCTTCTCTACCTATGTTCGACCATTACTAGAGTACTGCACTCCTGTATGGTTTCCCTCTACAAAGAGAATGATAAATACCCTGGAAAGAGTACAGAAGTCATATACCGCACGAATATTTGCGAGAGCAGGGCTGTTTCGATTATCTTACAAATCACGACTTTCTATGCTTGCTGCTTCCTCACTTTCACTGAGAAGAGAAATTTATGACCAAAACCTTGTCTACAAGATTATATACAAAAAAAATCAACCTTGCAGTGCAAGATTTCTTTGTATTTTCTAATTTCAACAATATCACCAGAGGACACGAACTCAGACTCACAGTGGGAAAAGTACGCACACAACAGTTTCACGATTCTTTCTTGGTACGTATCATCAGAACATGGAACGCCCTCCCTGAGAATGCTGTCAAAACTACATCTGTATTCGTATTCAACAGAGAAGTTCTAAAGAGTTTGAGACTCAAAGGATTTTTTGATAACATTATTTACAGGATATTGATTATACTCTATTCGATGAATTCAATCAATATTACAACAGAATGACGATGTGCTGCTGCAAAAAAAATTTTGCATCTATTTTCATTTTTATCTTTCTTCTATTCAAGTGTTCTCAAAATCACGCTTATGACTAAACATTATCACTCTCTATTTATTCATCATCTTTTTTCCAAAAATATCAATATATTCAGAGTTTTATCTCTATGCATTACCATAAATGGCGAATTTATTTTTCCTAGATCTTGGTGTTCTATTGAAAATCATGTTTTATCGGGTCACGTCAGCTAGCCTTTACCCGCAGGCTCGCTGGCATTCAAAAAATGGGATATTATACATTTTCAAAAGGCCCCAAGATTTTGAAGTCGATCACTCTTGTTAACATGTGTCTATCTGTCTCTTTATGTTATCGACTATTCTGAATAAATAAATAAATAAATAAACTTATGTTTATGAAGGAGCTTTTCGACAGTAAGGTGGTAGAAATTGAAAAAAAAGTTCGTAAGCTTCTCAGATATTTCTCAATTAGTTAGATTTTCATGACAATATTTCTGCACAAAATGATGCTCACAAATTAACGCATTCTTGCTCGCAAAATGTTCAGCTACTTTCAGGGCTAAGAATAGCGTAACAGAATAATCAAGTTTTCGGATTACCTCGATGTTACTACTATCTCTGCTTCTTAAACTTTGTTTTGAGTTGATTAGAAACACTTGAAAAAAAGGAAAAAAACGTGTGAAGGATTTCTTTATATTGACACAAATGCAATGCTTGCAAATAGCAGATGATTTTTATGTCAGATGCAGTTTGACTTTGCAAAAGGAAGGATTTTCGGCGTTGAAATTAAACAATATGTGTTACAAAAAAACCGTCTCAGATTTTCAAGTGCTTTTTCACATGACAGCAGTTAGACTTCCAGAATATTTTTCGTATGACATTTTAGTGCAAACTATTGCCTTTTCATAAAACGTTCCATTTTCTTCAAGATTGGGTGCAGAATTGCTGAACAAAATAAATTGCGCGCTTCTTGTTTTTTTTTCACCTGTACTTAGACGTATGTTGAAACTATCAGTGTTTTTAGGCAATTATACTGATGTATGATTCTTATGTGTAAATGCTGTTAGTTTTGCAAAGAGAGCTTTACGACTTGTCTGTTGTATTACAGAGTCGCATAAAGCATAGGCCTTTTTCAAGTGACCTTCAAAGCTCGATTGTATATTGCATCCCAATCGCGCTTGCTATTGTCCCGTGTGTGCTGATGTTTAATTTTTTTTCTCAAAAAAGTTCGATTTTCACAGTGAGTTTGAGGATTTTTTCATGCGAAGATGCGTTCAGCATGCTTCATTCGCTTCTTTTGCTTCATTCTTGTGGAAGGGTTTTTTTAGAGTAAAATTTGAAAATTTTTAATGAGATACGTTTGGTAATGAAGACAAAAATGGAATGGTGCACAATAGGAAAATGGACAATGAGTAATATGATTTTGCTTTATTTTTGAGGAAAGGTTCAATTTTGAGAGTAAATTTTGGTTTGGCACGTAAAGATGCGTTTAGTGATAAAAACAATGATGATGTAGTGCACCAATTAAGAAAGAATTGAGGAGATGTAATGCAGATATTTAAGTTAAGTATTATCACCGACCTGAAGATGCTATCCGACGTTTGTTTATTTTCGCAAATGAAGCAAAATGTAAAGCGGTTGAAATAAATCGACCGCTAACAGCGTTGTAGGCGACGGAATTGGGGTTGCACTTAGCTTGACGTCGTGATAAACATCACCGAAGCAGACGGAATACCGAAGATGGCACAAAACATCATACCATTGATGACGTCATAGGTTGCACTTAGGTTGAGTCGTAACGATAAACAGTATGGAAGCGGGCGAAAGTGCAAGAATTAACTCAGAGATCTGGGCAAACATCCTTGCCGGTTGTTGACGTCGGATGGTCCCCCCTGCGCTTTATTATAGGGTACGATGTTCTTGTGAGTCGCCGTTTTCTACTACTTCTCATTCTTTATTTTTTGATTTGAATATAGACAGTGATTTGAATATAGACAGACATCTAGGCCCGTAGTAACCTCCCCCCCCTCAAGGCATCTCTCCTGAGGCGTACCGGAGGTGATCTCTTCGCGCCTCAGTCTAGCATCCGGAAACCTATTTATCGGAAATTTATTTCCTATCCAGTCATGGTGATGCGTTCCAATAGCCTTCAAGAATACGACGAAATCGTGTACAGTGGTGGAGTGGGGAAGATGTCGGCGTGATGAAGGGGTGGCAGATGGTTCAAGTCCAGCGTAGCGCGAATAGTTTTGCGTGCCTCATACTTTCAATCTCGCTCTCGCATTCCTCGCTCTCTCAAAAGATAAAACGGGAACGGTATCATTAGGTTGTAGAGAAAGTTCCCGGGGACATTTGGAAAATTTTATTTTCAAACGCATTGTTTCGGCACTCGTTCGGCTGACATCAAGTTTTTTATACTGTTCAGTAGAGGGAAGCCTAAAGTTTCGATACGGCTTCTGATTTTTGTAGATGTCAAGACATATTTAATCTGCACATCAAGAAGAAATATCTTTTCAACCAAAAATTTCCACAATTTTTCTTCCTACAGCCATTTTTTGGTGCAGTTCAAATAATTTTGCCCAAATCATAAGTGATCTATTTAAAAAACTGTTAACTTCTGATCCGCAGTTGCACTCGAGTTTTGCGAGCTGCGCTCAGAAATTACAAGCTGTCGAAGTTACCTTTGACTGCAACTCTTTTCGCAGCTTACGTCGCTTTTGCGAGGATCGCCAGGCCTGGATGATGGGTCCAAAAGATGTGTAAGGCATTGACAATGTTCGCAGTAGTCAAAAATTTGGTCCACCCCATGAAGGCAAGACTTCAAAGTTACCTACTCGAAAATGGTGCATTTTTGGGGGCAAAAAATGATTGATCTTTCAAAACTTTTAGGAAATAATTTTTTTGCATGTGGTCGCGCAAAGGCTTAAATAGTCTTCATAACAGCCACAATAGACTTCTATATAACTACAGCATTTGAGCCCTCCAGCTCATCGTGCATGAATAACCCTGCACAAATAGGCCACTTTTCGCAATGACCTTTCTCCCTCTGCGCATGTTGGTAGGCCGCAGTGAGGCTCAAAAGCCAGAAAGACAAATACAGTGCTGGACATAATTATAGGGACACTCTAGAAATCGTCGTAATTTTCATTCTTGTTAGTGAATCTGTCTGAAACTTTGCTGTATGGTGCGCATGTAAGCCTACCATAACTCCTCAGAACGGCTTCCAATCCCGTTGATTTCGAACGGAGAGAAATGGAAAAATTCGAAAAAGCTTGTTTTGCAGGCTGGACATAATTATAAGGACACCTGGCCTTTTTAAGCATTATCGCATTCCTTGACTCACAAATTTTTTTGTAGAGTTACATCCCAGAATATGAAACTTTTGCAGCGCCTAGGACCTGTCATGCTACTCAAGGAAAGATGATCCTTGCATTTTTCGTTTTTAAAGGCATCAGAAGTCAAACTGTTTCAGTAAACAACTGGTTTGAAGAGTTTTCAAGCCCTTGTTCATTTAAAATGATAATCATGGAGTTTACTGATCCTTCTGGATAGATGAGGTGAAGAGCGCTTTCGTAAACTCTGCGTAATCGCTGATTTTGACGGACAGACTTCAACCTCACCATAGGGTTGTCGCGCTTTTGCACCACAAAACTCACTTTCCAATGTCCATGAAGTGATGGACTCGATTTATTACAATGTCTACATGGAGATGCATCTTCTGCAACAACTTTTAGATTTTTTCTAGTGCTGCAGTTGCCATTTAGATCTAAAATACTTCCAACGAAAATTCCATGCGAGCAGTAGATTCAACATAATTACAAATCTCACTATTTTATTCTCTGTTTCATGTCGCATTTTGCGCGGTAGCTGAGATTAGCAAGATTTTGAAGTTTCAAGCGGTCTCCTGTTCGATTTCTTGATTTGAGTTGGATATGATTGTGCAGGGTGCTCGACTCAACTCTCAACGGATGACAACTGCAGCTGAACCAGAATGTGCAACCCCGAAATTTTTTTCCTGACTAGGCACACAAGTTTATTGTTGTACGTGTATTGTTGCGGCATTGCAGCGTTTTCTGTAACTTGAAAATCGAGTTTTGTGGTGCAAAAGCACGACAACCCTATGGTGAGGTTGAAGTCTGTCCGTCAAAATCAGCGATTACGCAGAGTTTACGAAAGCGCTCTTCACCTCATCTATCCAGAAGGATCAGTAGACTTCATGATTATCATTTGAAATGAACAAGGGCTTGAAAACTCTTCAAACCAGTTGTTTACTGAAGCAGTTTGACTTCTGATGCCTTCAAAAACGAAAAATGCAAGGATCATCTTTCCCTGAGTAGCGGTCCTAAGTGCCGCAAAAGTTTCATATTCTGGGATGTAACTCTACAAAAAAATTTGTGAGTCAAGGAATGCGATAATGCTTAAAAAGGCCAGGTGTCCTTATAATTATGTCCAGCTTGCAAAACAAGCTTTTTCGAATTTTTCCATTTTTCTTCGTTCAAAATCAACGGGATTGGAAGCCGTTCTGAGGAGTTATGGTAGGCTTACATGCGCACCATACAGCAAAGTTTCAGACAGATTCACTGACAAGAATGAAAATTACGACGATTTCTAGAGTGTCCCTATAATTATGTCCAGCACTGTATTAGGTTGTCCCGAAAATTCTGTCGTTTCATTTTTGAAAATTTGTAACTTTGCGCTATCTCAATGTATTTGCATCTTAGTGATCATATTTGGAAGAGCAAATCATTCGCTTTCAAATACTTTCTCTCCTAGCTTCTACTACGCACCGGCTGAGATGAAAATGGAAAAAGAAGACCGTATAAACTTTTTATTTTAAGTTAAGTCGCCAAAAACCTGTACCGCTGCGGAAAATTCTGAAAATGCAAGTACATAGGTTTTTTGACCTACTCTTTATAAATGGAAAGTCTGTGCTATTTGGATGTGTCTGTAAAAAGTTATGATTTTCGAGAAAAGTGGCAAATTAATCAATTTTGGCATTTTCTGTAGTAAAGTCGAAATTCGTAACTTTTCAAAGAAGCATTCGAACAGCACAAACCTTTCACTGTTGCAAGTGGGTCAAAAACCTGTGCACTCACGTTTTCGGATTTTTACGCAAGGTTTCAGACTTTTGGCGACCTAACTTAAAATGACCAAAGTTTATAGGCTTCTTTTTCCACTTTTATCTCTGCAATCATTGTGTATTGGAAGCTGAGTAGAAAAGTATATGAAAGCAAAAGATTCACTTTTTTAAATATGATTACAAGGATGCAAATCCATTGAGATAGCCAGAGTTA